ACAACAATAGCCACAGCCAACAACGGCTTCTGCATCTCATGCACCTCCTGCGGGTATCCCAGCACCTGGAGATATAGTCCATATTGCTAATGCCCAGGCTGAGAAAAAGGGCAACTCGGTAGAGCCGATCCCACCACAAGCCTCCAAAGCACCTGTGCACCAAACTAAGGCTCCATTTGAATTTGAAGTTGACCTGACTATACTTAAGGTCAACAAGTTCGAGAAACTTTTCAAGCGGGCACGGAGTGTTAATTCTATCCCCGACATCGAAGATGGGTATACTGACTCTGCAGTAACCCTGCCAAATTGGTTCAAAATGCCATACATCGATTAATTCGATGGCTCTGGAGATCCCATGGTTCATCTGCGGTTGTTCTCCGATATCTTACAGCTGATGGGCCTCACCTGACTTCAAAAGCTGTCTCTTTTTGACCAGACCTTGTCTGGAATAATTGCTATCTGGTATGCAAAGCTTGAAGATTCTGTGAAGCAGAGTTAGAAGGAAATGGCTGAGGCCTTTATTGCAGAGTACTCCTACAATACCCAAATCGAGGTCACAACCCGTGATCTCGAAGCAACGTGCCAGATGTAGACACCCTATTTTTGACCGTCCTCAAGACTTGGATGTTCTTGTAGGTACATCCAGTGACAAGTTTGATTGCTCGTCGAGCGCTCGAACTTCACAGCAGAACGACACAGGTTTGAGCTTTCCAAACCCGGTATCAATTCTATCTCATTTTTGGACCATGTTTTGGTCCTTCCAGCATGTTGTTCTTGATGCACTGCCGGCCATGTTAAGGCACTGCCGGCGATGAACTTTGGCCTGCCGGCCATTGATGTGCCATGCCAGCCATCAATGAGCCCCTGTCGGCCATGACTGATGGCCGGCTGCCCACCAGTGTATCAGTAGATATTTTCTGATATTTTATGCCAGCTGTTTGCACAGATTAAAGCATCTGCTTGCGTATAGATGGTTGGATCTCTTTGAGAGGATTTTGTATCTTCTATATATAAAGGCCTTCCTCTTGTATGCTCAAGGTTGGAAATTTTGAAGACAAAAAAATTTCTATCTCTCTTTCTCTCTAGAATCCTCTCTCTCTAAATATTTTGCCTTGAAAGCCTAAATTCTTTACACTTTCGCTTGTGAGCTCTTGATCAAACTTGATCATCTTGGTGTTGAGGTTGCTTGAGGTCCTATTTGAGCTCTAAAAGAGGTGCTTTGCTTGGTTTGGCATGCCTTTGTTGCCTAAATAGCATCTCGTCTTCAAAGAGGTAGAATACTTGTAATTTAAATACTTGTTTGGCCACCTTTGCATGTTGTTTTGAGGTTGATTTTAGCCTCTGAAATCTCTATTTTTATGGTTTAAAATAGTGGTTTGAGGTTTGTTTTGGAGTTAGGGGTGGTCCACCCTTTTTGTAGCTTGTTTGCTAAGTTGTTGTGCCATTTTTCAAAGCTTTTTAAACAACTTTTTTTGGCCTTTTAACCACTGAATTCCAGGGGATTTTTAGTGGTGAAAAATTTGTTTTGAGGTCTGAAATAGGAGGGGGTGGCCTCCCCTCCTTGTGTCTTGTTTGCAAGTGTGGATAGCCTAACATGTAAGCATGTTTCTCTACCTTTTTGTGACTTGATCTCAGCATGTTTTTGCTACTTTTTTGACTTAATTTAGCTCTTTTTTGAGCTGGTTTGGCCACTTGAGGCTTGCTTTGTATGCTTGTAGTGCAATTGTGCTTAAGAGTCTTGTTTGTGCTCTATGTTGGCCTTTCATTCTAGCCTTTTAGCTTACTTCAAGCATGTTTTAGGACTCCATTTAAACTATTTTAGGACTATTTTAAAATGTTTGTCCCTTGTGAGCTTTCTATTGCATGCCTCTAGTGTAGTGCTCTTCACTAGTTTGGTGTTTTTGGCTTTTGAACATGTTGTGCATGAGTTGCTTGCATGTTGTACTATCATTTTTCATGCCATTTCAGCACTGAAATATCTGCAACCTCCCTCATTTCTTCACTTGACCATTTTCTTTGAGGGTTGATTAACCTTAAGGTCGTGTTTAAGCTTGAGATTGAGCTTGTGCTTAATGGTTTTAATCCTCTTTTGAGGGTTCCTCCTTACTAATAACATGATCTCTCTTATGTCTTAAATCATCCTTTGGTTGACCACTCTCTCATTAGAGGACACTCACCTTGGACAAATTGACTAAAGAACGGTTTGGTAATGTAAAATGTGCAAACAAAATTGGACAAGTAAAACATGAACAAGATAAGCATGTTGTATTTGCATTGCATGTGTTCAATCGGACGTTATATTGAACACAAAGTAGATTGGAGCATTTCATACTTAAAGTGATGAAATGAGCCAATCTCCTTTGTCTCCATTGCCTTTGATCATCAATGACAAGGTAGTGGTCTAGAGTCCTGTTTTCTGCATTCATTGAAAGTGTACAACTTGGATCTTTGGCCATTATGCATTGAAAATGCTTGATTGGTGGTTTTGGATCCAATAGCTCCATTCCTTTGATGTTTTGAGATGATAAGGAGGGGCACAGTACAAACATATCCTTGGAAAACCCTCCTTTTTCCTCTGTTTGTGCTATGTTGCAGTTTGGTGATTCAGCACACCAGTGGCCGGCAGTGGCTCACTAATGGCCGGCAGTGCTTCATCCTTGGCCAACGTAGCACACTTTTGGCCGGCAGATGGCCGGCAGTAAGCATTCATGGCCGATAGGCCACTGGTGCAGTCCCCAGCATTGAATTGGTAAGGTGGAGCAGAAAGTTCTTGGAGCAAGCTTAACCCTGCAAACAATGCCTCTCAAGAGCAAATCGGTGGGCTTTTTGGGGCGAAAACCGAGTGCATGCATCCACCATTTCCTAAAAGCAGAGCTGAGGCACCATGGTTTAGTGCTCTAAATGTTTTATTAGTGCACATTGGCATTTTAATTTAGTTAATTAGTTTGCTAATTAGTTAAGTGTTGTAATAATTAAGTAGCTTAGCTTAGCTATTTCTTTATTTTGTTTTGTAATAATTAGTCTAATGTGCATATCTGTAGCAAGTTTGGTATCCGTTTTGGGGGCAGAATTTAGTGTTAAGTGCAGTCTTACAGCTTTGATACATCTGTGTTGGTAATATCATTAGCTGAGGTGCTGTGCGGTTTCTGATTACCGCTTTCTTTTGCTTTATTTCTTTTGCTAGGTAGTTTAGCACTATAGCTTCAGAAAGTTCGGATATCTCCCAAGTGCTCTAGAACTGAATCCGAAGGCTTTGCAAAGCTGAAGATCTTGTTAGGGAATAGCCCGTGTTTACTTCACTCCCACCAGTTATGAGAAGGAGGAAAGTCATGCAGAGTTCACCAGTCTAGTTTTTACAGCAGTCACCCCTCAATTCACCTACATCCAGTCAGGCTCAGGGACAGTCTTCTACTTTTAGTCGACCACGAGATTGTTCACCTATCCCGATGACACAGTATCCCCCAGTCAGTATGGAGGAATTGATCCATCATCTTTAACAAACAGTTGAAACCCTATAGCAAGATGTTGCTCGTCAGGCCGAGGTCATAGCCCGTCAGGCTGAGGTAATAAACAGGCTACAACAACAACAGTCGCAGCCGGTCGTGGCCTCTGTATCCCATACACCTCCCACGGGTATCCTGACACTCGGAGCCGCTGCCCATACTACGAATGTCCAAGAGAATTAGGGCAATCCAACAGAGCCGATCCCACCACAAGCCTCCAAGGCACCTGTGTATCAAACCGAAGCTCCATTTGAATTTGAGGTTGACCCAACTGTGTTTAAGGTCAACAAGCTAGAGAAGCTATTCAAGAGAGCACAAGGTGTTAACTCCATCCCCGATATAGAAGATGGGTATACCGACTATGTAGTGACATTGCCAGATCGGTTCAAAATGTCGTACGTCGATCGATTCGACGGCTCTAGAGATCCCATGGTTCATCTACGACTATTTTTAGACGTCTTACGGTCGATGGGCCTGACCAGATTGTAGAAATTATCTATCTTTGGCTAGACCATGTCAGGAATAGCAGCCTTATGGTATGCAAAGTTGAAGGATTTTGTTAAGCAGAATTGAGAGGAAATGACTGAGGTCTTTATTGCTCAATACTCGTATAACACACAAATCGAGGTCACAACTCGTGATCTTGAGGCAATGCGCCAAGAGCCAAAGGAGGGCTTCTCAGAATTGTGACGAGGTGAAGGTCTAAACTTTCAATGATGACCATAAGGCCTTCCGAGAAAAATCAGATAAGGATGGTAGTCCGCAATTTGCACGGGAAGTTGTTGTAGAAAATGATCATCCTACCTCTGTTTACATTCACCGAGCTCCATGAGATGGGGGTTTAGATTGAAGATGCCATGAAACAAGGGCTGATCACTAATGAGAAAAAGCCGGCCAAGAGGCCTTTTGTTCGCAGTTCCAATGCAACCACTAGTGGAAGCACAACTGCGTGGCTGTCTGATGTGAGTGTTGTCACCACCACAACCAAGACTGCCAATCCCTTTGCCAGCATAACTCCACAAACTTTAAACAACCCAGCCCAATCACAGAGGACATTTACCCCACTCTACATGCCTTTATCCCAAGTCATGAGGGTGTTGATCAAAAAGAGACGCCTCAAGCCGTTAGAACCCCACCCACTACCCGATCCTCCCCCACCAAAACACAACCCAGTAAGGTATTGTGCATTTCATTAGTAGCACGGTCACTATAGTAATCAATGCTTCAGGCTGCTTCATAAGATTCAAGATCTCATTGACAACAAGGTGATCGCACCACCCCAAAAGCCAAATGTAACTACAAACCCTCTCTCGGCCCACAATCAAGTTCCCCCACTGCATAATCTAAACCTAATCCACACACTGGCCTTCCCCTATGACCCCAGCATATACATTACCCCTTCCCACCTACCTAGGTCGATCATGTTCATTCTCGAAAGCACAGATTTGTGCATGATGGACACATTTACACTTCAACCTAAACCTGTGGTGGTGACAGTGGTAGAAGAAGGGAAGCCAGCCTTAGAAGAGAGTAAGAGTCCTTTGCCTGAGTGCTCTGAGGACTTATTTGAGGGGGAGTACAATCCGTGTTACTACATTGTGCTAGTTGATCAAGTAAAGCCAGAAGTGGTGTTGCTAACAGTAGAGGAAGTCAATGTGGTTAGGGAGGATGGCCTGAGCCAAGGTTTGGACGATTTGGCAAAGCTAGAGGAGGACTTAGACAATCTGCAATTCTATGACAAACAAGATCAAGGGGATATGCAGATTGACTGGTTTGATTTGAATGGGTCAACGGACAACTCTGGGTGGTTGAGTGACGAACCCAATAGAGAGGAGGGAACTAAAACAAAACCAAAGGAAAATGAATCAAGAATCGATACAGTGGTCGGAATGGCCAATGAAAAGGGAAAACTACCGAGAGCACTAACATCAAGAATTTAGCTCAGAAACTGGGCGCTGTGAGTACTACAGATACAGAACAGGAGGCTGCATTAAAGCAGTTTGAAGAAGAGAGGGTTCAGGATAAGTGGAAAGTTGGAATGGCCCAACACCGTGCGGGGGATACTTTTGATGTAAGAATGATCAGACCGGAGCTGGACAATTGTTTGTCGCTTGCCGGAGGGGTATGGTGGGAGGACGACAATATACATCTGGCCCACACCGATAAAGACTAGGGTGGATGCCTGCCAGATAACACGTGGTACGCTGAAGAGATTGACCACATAACGAGGAGTAGGTGGTATTTCAAGCCCCTACATTTGGACCAAGCTGAGGCCTCTGGGCAAGATAAGGAGGTTGAGAAGTAGAAAGAGAAATAGTTGGAGGAAGAGGCAACGTTGAAGCAACTGAAGAAGATCCAAGCAGATATCTCAATTTGGGGGCTGCTCATGGCTTCTTAAGTACATCGACAGGCTGTATTATCAGCAATGGACAAGGCCAAACAGTCAATTGACACCACCCTTGAACAACTTATGGGATTAGTTTTCCCAGGTGGTGCTAGCCCAACCCCAACCTTTTTCTGAGAAAGAACTGCCGCCAGAAGGCTCAGCACACAACAAACCTCTATACATATCTGTTGAGTGTAGAGAAAAATGGATGCCATTGGTGTTGGTCGATACTGGGTCAGCTATCAATGTCTGTCCTTCTCGTATAGCTTATGCCATCGGTCTGAAACCAGTGGACTTCGTGCCCATAACCCTAGTGATTCGGGCATATGATAATACCAGCAAGGAGGTGATAGGCACAGTACAAATCTGAATTCAAGTGGGCACAGCGCAACAGGATGTCGAGTTCTATGTCTTACATGTCCCGGCCACCTTCAACTTACTACTAGGGAGGCCTTGGCTGAATCTGGTGAAAGCAGTTTCTTCTACCCTCTACCAAATGCTGAAATAGCCTCACGGGAAGAGAGTGGCTATTGTGTTCGGAAATTCATCTATACATCCTCTGCCAAAGATAACTACACCAGTGCTAGAGATCGTTTATGGCGAGGAGGATATTTTCCTCCCAGGGTTTACTCCAAATGAGGCCCAGACAGTGCAAACTATCTTCGCAGCAGATGAAGGCATGTATGTTAGTGCCCAATCAATTTATTTCATGAACAAGCTGCGACATATGCCAGGAATGAGACTGGAAAGAAGTGGCTGGAAAGACGTCATAGCATTGGCCGATGTGCCATATAATCCGCATGCCTTTGGTCTTGGCTATATGCCCACCAAAGAGGATTGGGTCAGGAAAAGAGAAGAGAAGGCAGGCAGAGCAAGAGCCAAGCAGGTTGGGAAGCACTATGAGCTAGTTCACAGGCCGATTCGAGGAACACTGAATGGTCACTTTGTTCGGCAGGGTGAAGACATCCCATTTTGTCATTTTCTGGAGCCCTAGATAAATTCTGAGAAGCAGCGTGTTCCTGTGTTCGAAATCTTGTTCGACCTCTAGTTGCAAGACAGTGATGCCGAGAAAAAGGCTGAACTGAGCACTGAAGCTGAATAGAGCATAGAAAGTGACTCTAATAGCAGCGAACTCATAGTAGGGACAACATTGGTATGTCTTTTTTCAGATCCTTCGGCCGGCACAGAGAGGTTGGGGGATAACCTTACCAACACCATGATCGAGGACCAACCGGACGTGAACCCATCTAGCAGCATTTTGGATGCATCTGAAGCACCATCTCTTGTCTGGTAGTTGAAGGAGGGCTGCCCGTCCAGTAGTTTTGAGTCGGGTAGTGAGCCAGAATCTGATTCCACATAGTCTGTGGAGTTAGAATCAGATTCCGGTTCTTCTGAGTTTGAGTCTGGTATTCCTGGGGGTGATAACCTGGATGCCAAGGTCTTGTTCAAGTCCTCTTTTTCTTTTGCTTTTGAGTCGGTTGTAACCGAAGAGCTGGATGAGCGAGACTTTGTGAATGAGAATGGTGCTGCTGATTTTGAGTATTTCTCTGTGCCGCTTGTGTATTGCATTGATTAAGATTTTTAAAATTTTAATGAAAACGATGAGGAAAGAATTCCTCTGGTTTTGAAAATTTTGATTAATGGAGAGGAGGAGAGGTTTACAAAACCCCTTGTTTATGAAATCATTGCTTTTAATATTGGCACTAAGAAGGATCCGTGTCTGGTCCAGATCGGGTCCACGTTGTCTTCAAAGGAACGCGAGCGCTTAGGCGCGTTATTAAAAGATTTCAAAGATGTTTTCGCATGGTCCTACGAAGACATGCCTGAAATCGATCCTGAGATTGTACAACATCGGATCCCTCTTGACCCCGAGGCTCGACTCGTCAAGCAGAAGTTGCAAAGAATATGTCCAGATTGGGCTTTGAAGATTAAGGAAGAAGTTAACAAAGAGATTGAGGCAGGGTTCTTGCTTGTGTCTGAGTATCTAACGTAGTTGGCAAACATTGTTCTAGTCCCAAAGAAGGATGGCAGAATCAGAGTAGATGTCGACTTCAAGGATCTGAATTAGCCTACTCCGAAGGACGACTTTCCCCTACTGCATATTTATGAGTTGGTAGACTTTACCGTGGGCCATGCATTGCTCTCCTTGATGGGTGGGTTTTTCGGGTATAATCATATTCTAATAGTGCCCGAAGATAGAGAGAAAACTACCTTCACCACAACATGGGGTACCGATTGCTACAAGGTGCTGCCGTTCGGGCTAAAGAATGCCAGGGCTACCTATTAAAAGGTTGCAACCATAATTCTGCATGATATGATCCATAAAGAGGTTGAGGTGTACGTAGACGACATGATTGTCAAGTCCAAAGAAAGAGAGGGCCACTACAATGCCTTGAAGAAATTCATTCAGCGGATCAGAGAATACAGACTAAGGTCGAACCCGCAGAAGTGTACCTTCGGTGTAATAGTAGGGAAAATGATGGGCTTCTTGATCACACAGAGTTGCATCGAGGTAGATCCTTCCAAAGTCAAGGCCATCCTAGAAATGCCACCACGAAGGACTAAAAAGGAGGTGTGAAGCTTTTTGGATGAAGTGCAATTCATAAGACGATTTATTTCTAAATTAACCTCGACTTGTGAACCACTTTTTGGTCTCCTAAAGAAAGGAAAGACATTCCAATGGGATGATCGGTGTCAATTCGCTTTTGAGCAGATTAAGCAATACCATGAAAATCCACCTATGTTATCGCCACCAGAGCCGGGGAAGCCTTTGATTTTGTATCTGTCAGTAACAGACACCACAATGGGATGCATGCTTGCTCAGGAATCTGAGGATAGGGTGGAGAAGGTCATCTACTATTTGAGCAAAAAAATGTTGGATTACGAGATCCGCCACACTCCGCTGGAGAAAGCTTGCTTAGCCTTGGTATGGGCTACCAGGAAATTGAGGCACTATTTGTTAGCTCACTCCGTAATTTTGGTTTCGAGATTAGATCACACTAAATATCTCTTTGAGAAACTAGCACTTATGGGTAAGCTAGCCCGTTGGTTGCTTCTTCTCTCTGAATTTGATCTGAAGTATGTCACTTGCAAGTCGGTAAGGGGAAAATTGTAGCGAAGTTCTTGGCAGATCACCCAGTAGAAAGGGATGAAGCAGTAGAATACCTGTTCCCAAATAAAGTTATTCTACAAGTTGAGGGGGAGACTTGGACAATGTACTTTGATAGAGCGTCTAACCAATATGCTTATGGGATAGGTGTGTTGTTGATAGCGCCTGACAATTTCCATATACCTTTAGCCTTCAAACTCCGGTTCAAGGTCTCCAACAATGAAGTAGAATATGAAGCGTGTATTGCTGGTTTGGAAGTCGCCCTGGAATTAGGGGCAAAAAGGTTGAACGTCATCGGAGAGTCGAACCTAGTTGTTTCTCAAGCAAATGAAGACTGGAAGGTCAAAGAAGAAAAGATTAAGATTTATTACCAGACCCTGGATGTCTAATTCTTAGGTTTCAAAAGCTAACTTTCACGCCCTACTAAGAGAGAATAACAAGTTTCATGATGCCTTATCAATAATATCATCCATGATAGACATCCCGCTTAGAGTCTGGATGTGTCTGATCATCTTTGAGCAGAGATACATGCCGGTCTATGAGACTATCGCCACAATAGATAAAGCACAAGATCAAAACCCTTGGTATTACAATATCTAGAACTTCTTGGAAAAGGAGATTTATCCACCAGGGGCAAATGCCAAGGATGAAAGGGCAATACGGCAGATGGTCGTTCAATTTATCATCTGCGGAGGTAAACTATACAAGAGAGGTCATCTAGGAATGCATAAGTTGTGTGTCGAAGAAGAGGAATTAAAGCGCCTGATGGAGGCCATCCATGGAAAAGAGTGCAGAGCGCACATGAATGTAGTAATGTTAGCTCGGAAGATTCTCAGGCAGGGTTAGTACTGGTCTACTATGGAGAAGGATTGCATTGTTTTGTTCGGCGATGCCATAAATGCCAAATTCATGGCAATCACATGAATATCTCGTCGTCGAAGCTGTACAATATGACTTCACCATGGCTTTTTTCAGTCTGGAGAATTGATGTCATTCGAGCGGTCACACCAAAAGGGTCGAATGGACATGAATACATTCTGGTGGCAATTGATTACTATACAAAGTGAGTAGAACCTCAGTCCTACGTAGTGTTGAAAGCAGCGCATGTGGCTAAGTTCATCCAAAATAACATCATTTGCCGATATGGAGTCCCAAACAAGATCATTTCAGATAATGCCTCTCACTTCAAGAAAGAGGTGATAGACTTGTTGGAGAATACAATGTGGCTTTTCACAAGTCATCTACATACTGGCCACAAACCAACAGAGCTATTGAGGTCGCCAACAAGAACATCAAGCATATTTTGTAGAAGATGGTTGAGACCTACAATGACTGGCCAGATAAATTGCCATTTGCATTATGGGGCTACAGAACTTCAATCCAGACATCTATAACGGAAACTCCTTATTTTCTTGTCTATAGGATGGAAGCTGTTCTGCCAATTG